CTGCCATCAGCCGGACGTGATCGCCTTTCACACGTTCATGCTGGTCCCATCGAGCGGACACCTGGCCTGGACTCCCCCGACCCATTTCCAGCTTCCCTTCCCTGCTCATTGTCGGTGGACCCGTCACTTGCTACACTTGAGGCGGTGTTGGGCACAGTCAGAGCCCGGCCTCAGCTCCAGAAGGCTGGCGTTTCAGTCGGGAAGGCAGGTGCCAGGCTGTTCACCCCCCTGGAACCACGGTGATGGCGGGTGGCGTGGCAGATGCACAGGCCTGAGTGCCCTCTGACAGGTCTGCTGGTTGGGGAAGGCTTGTCTGAGCTCACGATGCTGACTGAAGACCTGTGGGATGAGTACGTGTTGACTGGGCGAGCAGGTGGCGACACGGAGCTGGAAGCTGCCTGGTGGGTGCTCCGGGCAGAAAGGCCAGGATGTGCTGAGCGCCCAGGGCAGGAAGGGGCGGGCGCCCATGGAACTGGGAAGGGCTAGTGGGGCTGCAGCTCCGGGAGGAAGGCACCGCGTGCGATGAGCTAGGCCAATAGCGTGCAAGGCCACGGGGCCTGTTACAGGCTTTATCCCCAAGACAGAGAGAGGCTGTCTACCCATACCAAAAAGCAGTTCCGATTCTGCGCACAAGCTCCTTAAAATCCCCTGGTAACTCTCTGAAGGTGTTATCTTGGCATTCGAGGTTCTGTGGCTACCTGGCCCTGGCCTTCTTCCTCAGCTCTGTGTCACTCGAAGTGGGGCCAGCGTGGAGCAGAACCAGGGGCAGGCAGGAGCTGAGCGCGCTGAGACAGAGGTACAGCACCCTGTGTGGTTTAGCAAGTCGAGTCATGAGTGAGCCAGGACCCAGGGGAAGGTCTGACCTGCCTCACGTCGCAAGGACCAGATCCTCCTCACCAGTCTGTGCCGTGTGCGGCCACCGCCGGGGGGGTGGGGGAGGCCATACGTATGCCGTGAATCGCGTGACTCTGGTTGCTGATGGACAGCTTTCTCATTGTATCATTTTCCCAAAGAACGAGAAAATGACAGAAGCGCAGCATCGTTGAGTGACTCACCGCCTCCATGGCTTCTCCTGAAACGGGCGCTCTGGGACCACTTTATGTCTCAACAGACAACACGGGGACATTGGCTCACAGACGGCCAGTGAGCATCCAAGTCCACTTCACAACACGGGGACGCTGGCTCACAGACGGCCAGTGAGCATCCAAGTCCACTTCACAACACGGGGACGTTGGCTCACAGACGGCCAGTGAGCAACCAAGTCCACTTCACAACACGGGGACGTTCGCTCACAGACGGCCAGTGAGCATCCAAGTCCACTTCACAACACGGGGACATTGGCTCACAGACGGCCAGTGAGCCTCCAAGTCCACCTCACAACATGGGGACGTTGGCTCACAGACGGCCAGTGAGCATCCAAGTCCACCTCACAACACGGGGACGTTGGCTCACAGACGGCCAGTGAGCATCCAAGTCCACTTCACAACACGGGGACGCTGGCTCACAGACGGCCAGTGAGCATCCAAGTCCACTTCACAACCAGGGACATTGGCTCACAGACGGCCAGTGAGCATCCACGTCCACTTCACAACCAGGGACATTGGCTCACAGACGGCCAGTGAGCATCCAGGTCCACCTCACAACACGGGGACGCTGGCTCACAGACGGCCAGTGAGCATCCAAGTCCACTTCACAACACGGGGACGCTGGCTCACAGACGGCCAGTGAGCAACCAAGTCCACTTCACAACACGGGGACGCTGGCTCACAGACGGCCAGT